AAGCCAGTACACCCCGCTCCCTCCGACTCCGTTACTAAAGTAGGCTCTTTAAAATAAAAAAATATTATATATATTTATATAGCTATACAGAGAGATACAGAGAAAGCAAAGGAGAGAGAGAGGCTACTAAAAAAATCAAGCGCCAGTTTTCTGCTACAGCTGTCAGCAAAGAACTGTCACCTTTCATCACACCCTCCAAGACGGTGAAGATAACGCAGGCAATGACAGCACAGGAATGCAAAAAAGAGGGCAGATAAGTCACTTCTGGTAATGAGACACAAATTAAACTTTCAAAACATGTGCATAGCTTTATTCATCTGCTTCAAACTAACCTTTTCACGGAGCTTCAGCGAAACCCGAGTGTGCAAAATGCATTTCTAAAAAATACCGCGAAGCAAGCTTTCACATTTACAGTGGCGCAATGACAGCACAGGAATGCAAAAAAGAGGGCAGATAAGTCACTTCTGGTAATGAGACACAAATTAAACTTTCAAAACATGTGCATAGCTTTATTCATCTGCTTCAAACTAACCTTTTCACGGAGCTTCAGCGAAACCCGAGTGTGCAAAATGCATTTCTAAAAAATACCGCGAAGCAAGCTTTCACATTTACAGTGGCAGAAGATGGGAGAGAGATGAAGAAACCGGAATTGCACAGCTTCGTATTCCGAGTCACTGACTGCAAACGCGAGCGTTTCTATCTCGTTAACTTTTAAGCGAGGCGCGTTGACTTCTCCTTTGCAAAAAAAACCAAACCAAAACAAAACAAACTGGAAAAACCCACAGTAACAAGAACCACAACCTGGAAAGGGAATAAACCCGCCAGGTGACGGGGTCCCCGGTGCCGCAGAGAGCCCTAACTCCAGAGCAAAGCCGCTTCCAGACCTTCACTTGTTTTGGCTTTGCAGGCAAAGCACGGCAACACTTATTTTTCATCCGCAGGAGAACAGCAAAGCAACTTCTCTTTCTCTTCCCCCCGCTCCTCTCCAAAGCCACCGAAAAGGGCTCATGTTTGGAAAAGGAAGGTGCCATCCCGCACGACATCGTCCCCAAGCCATAAGAGAGCCACACCACAGGCTCGAGTTCAAGTCTCGTTTCGATCTGATGGGTCACCGGGACAACAACAAACCCTCGGCGTGCCGGCTGACCTGCGCCCCATCCCAGCAGCTCACCCCTCTACAAACTCTCTGCGGAAAGACTCAGCACACACGCAAGGCACATTGAGTCAGATGGACACACACGCACACACACACACACACAAACACACGCGTGCAAAAGAGCAAACGCTGGCCAAAAAAATCAACTGATGCTGAATAAACGAATTAAACAGGCAGAGCTCCGGCCTGTGGTTTTTATATACTATTTTCCAGGCAGTTGTAATCCCCAAGTGTTGTTCCTCCACGACTTCAGATCTTCCTTACCCTTCCCTCGCTTTACAGAGGTAAGTTATTTTCCTAAAGGATCTTCTATAAATAGTCAAGTGAATTCCCTTTTATCCCCTCCAGCAAACTCCTCCTCAAGCCACAACCCGCCTGCGCTGGGGTCCAGCCATGACCCATGAAGACAAGAGGCTCTGGACCTGCCCGTGCCCCACGGCACCGCCTCGACACAGCGAGACCTCCCTCCGCTAACTCCCAAAGCCGTGGGATTTCACACCTAGCTGTCAGGTTTCGGCTCGCTTTTTCCTTGGAAAAAGTCTGATTCCGGGCACCGATAGCTCCCCAGCACCTAAAGAAGGAGCCCGTGACTCTGCAACGCCAGGGGTGTGGGCAGGAAGGCGGCCACGCAATCTTTAATACTGCTGGTTAACTTCACATTGAGACAAAGCATTAAAAAGATCTTTCTGCAGAGATGAGCAATTTCCTTCCATAGAGAGATTCAACTAGAAAACAAAAATACTAAAACCGGAGACGAGACAAGAGCCGACTGAGATTTTCCCACCTTACAAGTTACTCAGGCATCTTTGCTGCACCACCTGCCACCGAGGAAGGAGGAGCTGAAAACCTCAGGGGTTTGCACTACCCTTCCAATAGCAGCTCGAGAAAAGGAAGGAAAGAGAAAAAAAAAAAAACCACTAAAAATGCACAGTGTTCTCTCAAGTTAAGAGTTCTCCTTTGCTTGCGTTTGCATAGAAATTCCCGTAGGTCAGCACCAAAATCAGGTACATCCCTCTCCTACACCCGGCTCTCCCCGTTCCTACGCTACCCGCAGTGAGTGGCTGTGTTACAGGAGGGTTCGACTATCCGCGGAGGAACTATATGGTCACGTCAAAGAAAAAAAAGAAAAAAAAAGTAAAAAAAAAGTGCATCACACATTCTTGATTTTCAGGGTTACTTATAGCAGCAGCAGCATTAATCCAAGACAATGAACAGTTGTAGATTCATTCTTAAATGCAGCAACACTTAATGAAATGTCTTCGAGGAAGGTCATAAGAGGGTCCTTCTCAAAAGGATAAAATGAAAATTAGACTATTCAATATAGACAAAAAGGAGATAAAACAAAAATTCAAGACACAATCTTATTTACATTAAAAAAACATTCTTGTTAAAATATCTTTACAACACCTAAGCAAAAAAATATGTATTTTAAGAATAAAGCAGAAACTCCTAAAGCAGTATCCATTTTTGGAACCCTTATTTAGCACCTGAGGAAAGACCGTGTGGAAAGTAGACATTTTTTTTTGTTGTTGTTGTTTTTTGTTTGTTTTTTAAGAAAACTGTTAAGTTGTGGTTTTGCTAAACGTTCACATGTTCGCAGTACACAAGTTTCACACCACAGAAAGAAATGAACTATTTCTTTTCTTCTTCTTCTTCTCTTTAAAGATTCCCTACTCGTTAATAAGGCTGTAGAAAAGGGATACCGCTGTCTTACAAAATGGCTTCAGAGCTCTGGACACGTTATACGAAGCTTTCTGGTTAACAGTCAAGATAAATACAGCTCAGCATCCCCCGCTGAAAGCACAGGTACGACTTTTGCTCCTGTCCCAGCACAGAGCAGCCCAACACCCCCAGTAGGTCCCTCTGAGGGTCTCGTGCCCCGATCCCAAGGCCACCGCCAAGCTCTCTCGTACCTCCCAGGATGTTGGCTGCGGAGCGATGCCACTCGTGAGGATCTCGAGCGGGACGCGGGGAAGCCAACCTTACCCTGTGGTGTAACACGGAT